GCTTCATATTTAAACTCAGGTCAGAAATGCCCGACGATATGTTCTGCAGCACAGTATGCAGTCTATCAAATCTGAAAAACTTCACTTGATCGTACAGGTGATTTACTCGGCTGCTAACGCATTGCCTACACGCCTAGATTCGAACGTTGATGGTGACGTATCTAATTATGTCGAACTACTTCATTAACATCTACAAAGTGAGGAAACCTACTCGGCAATCGGCGAGGTAACACTGTCGAATAACCAAAATTTGGGATATTAGACGTGGCTACTTCCAGCCTGCATCTCGGCCACATCCATGTCAGTGTTTAGTGGCAAGGTGTTTTCGTCTGTCGAACTGTTTATACGTTAAACATCCATCAGTGTTATAATACTGATAGGCGCATTATTACATTTCATCGCTTTATAAGTTTATTAAATGAATCTGTTCGAACTATTTAACTTAGCACCACACTCAGTGTCTCAGCTCTTAATTATGTCACATATAACCTGGTCAAGCGCACTATGGTTGTCATTAGTCAGTTCATCAGTTGCTCATGACCACGTGGGTTATATTCATGGATATGCAACTGGTTGCAATTGTATTGATGATTTTTATGTCCCACCTATGTTACTTGATAGTTTTATCATACATGTCCGGTATTTTATCCCACTTATTTCGCAGAACTCCTTATAGCTGTATTGCTGATATTGTACGCTACCTTATTTTAATCCCGGTTACTTGATTTTTCGTTCGCTCACATACAAAATGTCATCGTTGCACTTCAGATCGAATGCACATGGCATATCATATGGTAGTTGTAATAGGTATCTTATTTTAGAGTTTTAAAGGGTTTTACTTCATTGATAACCTTACCTCATTCTCGTCTAACAATTGGGTAGTATTATTTCAAAGTTTTCCATATTTTCTCTATCATGACGCGCTGTTAATTGCTCTGCTAGCTTGATAACCCTTGCATTGTTGCTTATGTTGCGTTACATTAACCATGCCTACCGAACTGGTATATAAGTTCTCTATTAAGAATAATTAACATAATTACAAACTGGTTTCCATTTATTGAAAAGAAAGTGAATGAATAGGTTAGTCCGTTACTAACTGAGTTATCTTAATTCTTCTCTAGCATTATAACTTGCCCGTTTATTATACTCCCAACATCTTTCTGTCACAAAAATACAGATAGTTTTGACGATTTGTATTTCTTTTATCTCAGTTCCATTCAATGAATGCAATAACCTTCTATTAACATCGCGAGAGCTGGTCCTTACAGATCAGGTATTCTGGTACGAATTATAAATCCGCCAAGAAAATTCAACAAATAATGACTGCAGGCAACTAGCTGAATTCACTACACTTGAAGCTGTTACAACTATAAACAGCTTGTCACTGACTATACTCGAGATAAGGACTATCAAGCCATATAGATTTCAAGCTTCCACGCTTGTTGACTGGTAATGGTGAACTAGTAGCTCTTGAAGATCTGTCTCAGAGTAACACGTTTTTACACTTGGAATGGCAGAGTCCTTGTCCCCATTTTTCAGGGACCTACTTAGAAACTGGTAAGTGTTGGCACGATTAACGTCGTCAAGGTTACCCACTGTAATCTTCAACATTGTTCCTCGTAGAGTAGATCAACTAAAAGCTGAGTTTTGCAGAAAATTATGTTGGTGTGCTTACCAGCTATTAGTTCAGATGATTTGAAACGGAGACCATTGGATACTGTTTGTAGGATTCAAGCTTGATATTGTGTACTTGTGGATGCTCTTGCAATTAAAGGATTTTGATCTGAACATAATGCATACACAATAATCTAACTACTTTATTAAAGTGAATGTAAATATAATCAGTAAATTATGCTTCTATCGTTTATTGTATTGCATTAACTTTTCGTAGCAGTCCACTGCTAAAAAATTACAAAATCAATTTGGAATACTAGTGTCTCTGTTTTCCTTAATGCAACTTTATCTTACTGCCTTATTTAATGACTAGGATTTTGGAGGTATATGTATTCTAGTTTCAAAATGTGATGAAATTCAAACATTATGATTGGTTCAATGAAGTTTGACAAAACCTTAGCTTACAACAAGAGTTTGGATCCAGTTATGTATGAAAACAAGTAGATGAATTTTCTTTATGTAAAATATCACAAACACTACATATTTCATCCTTACTTAAAGCCTTATGATGGAATGCCTTGTCGCCGTTCCTGATAAATTCGAATAATCATGAACTACAGTTTGTTTTTCACTCATTACCATAAGTTAAATAAACTAGTATTTAGAAATATACTTAAAAATTTCTGACCACACATAAATCTTCAGAAAACCCATATCCCTACTCATTGTATCGTCTTCCCATTTTAGTTGTATTTTTTCTGTGCTATAATCTCAATTGGTGGGACCGCTTCGCGTTCGTTTTACTTTGCTGTATCTGTTTATACTTTGCCGAGTATAAATAAGTTATAAAATACGTTATCCTGAAACTAAATGAATAAAATTTCTACTTTTACCATTTCCTGTTTATTAAAGGAACTATTTCATCTCGTTGCCATAAGATCGCTGCCGTAGAGTTGTGAGAATGCTAATAGGGGTTACTCATGAACATAAATTAATAGTGGTAATAAGAAGAGAGAAGTACCAAGTGACACTTCTCATTTCTTAACTATCACTCATTGCGGCAAGCAATTATGACAGATTTTTAGTGGATATTATTGATATATTGGGAACCCAATACATGTTGGATACACGCATTGTCATATAAAAATCGTTTTTCTTCATCTCACACCGTTCACTATGTGGGACTGGTTTGTGTTTCGTTTAGCGAGCAAACGACCAAGCCTTTAATATTCCAGATAAAATTTCAGATTCGCTTGCTGTAATAGTTGCAATTAATTTTGATCTGAAAAAGTCCCTGTCTGTGATGTGTTAGTTGGACTATTGATGAAGGAAATAGTTCAATTGTAAACTGGAATCCTATTTGGAACATTCCAAGGGACACTTCGACCAATGTAATCCAATGCTTCTGTCACGCATGATCTGGCTGAAATACGATTAGGACATTAAAGTTTCTTCGCTAACGTTTATAAAACTATTTGAGGCCGTGAAAGACCTGAAAGTGAAGTGGCATAACTTGGGGGTTTGGATTTTATGATTCAAATATAGCCATCAGAAATAACTAGGTTGACTAGCTGAGGTATCTGTTGTGATACGGCACTTCAGAATAATTCCTACGGATTATTTTCGATTATTGTTCTTCATAATGAAGACGATGATTTGTCCCCCAGTGAGCACAAAATCAATTCGATTAAAAGCCGTGCAGAACCGAAGGTCTGTGATGACAAGTTCATGAAAGCAAGAAAGTTTCAGGCATTACTAAAGATTTATCGATCCTATTTTTCTTGATTCTAGAACAAAAAACTAGTAAGTTTAGTAAATTCTTTTTATTCAGATTGACTCATTCATCAGGTAATTAAGTATGATCCACATTTGGAGTATGTATTAATAATACTACTAGGTTGCCCAGAGCAGAGTTTGAACATAGGACTGAGAATTAAACGCCTTGACCACTAAGCCACCGTTTGCAGACTTCACAAATTTCCCATACCATCTGACTGCATGCTAGTGTCTAGCACATAAATTCGGAAGTAAATATACTATATGTCTAACGACACTGTTCTTATTTACATAATTCTCAATAGTATGTGGTGTTGATAACTGAATTAATTATAGGGTGTTATATCTACCAATAGTGTTAACCACCATTGGTCAACAATTTAACAGGCACAGACTTAACTCTATTCGACTTTCCGAGTTAGGCTTCTGCCTTGGGTGTTCTCTGGCCGACCCAAAGTACACAAACGACGCAGTAAATCTCATTAAAGGCACAGAAAGGACATGAAGAATTCCAAAAAACTGAGTTAAAACCTAAGGATCTTTGGGATTTGTTTTTCTAATTCCGCGTGTATAATATGACATTTATACATCTTGGGTATTTGATCGTACGTACCTTTTGATTACTGTTTGTAAATAGCCGAACTATGCAACCTTCAATACAATTGCCAGGTTTTAAATAGCTGTTATATGTAGTGAGTCGTTTCACGAGGCTTTAAACCTCGGTTGAGTTTCCCTAGCTATACGTAATAAGTTATCGTCCACCTTGAGTCAATATGTTAATTATAGTCGACGTGATTATGAGAAAGCTGAACATAACTAAGTCAATTCATGGTCTTGGTCGTTACGACTACTCACTGTTGGATAAAAGTGTAAATAGTGTGTATAAATTCTGTGTTTTCCAACAGCTAGAATAACCAATGGCTTACAGATTTTAATGGAAGTATCAACTAAATTCTTACCTGTCGGATGTTAAGGCGTAGACGTGTTTAACTCTAGCTATCTTATTGATGTCTATCAGTGATGCATATTCATCGTCGCCGCATAGAATAAGAATTAAAAATGGTAAGTGTAATATATTGAGAGGAGCTGTCCGTGTAGACAAAATGTATGTAGAAGTGATATTAGTTAATCGCTCCCAAGGTTAGATAATTCGTTTATTGTTAACATAATCTTAAACAAAAACAAATCTAATGACAGTTCTACTTTTTTGCTTCATTCATGAGTTGCTATCAAGTATTTGTTTTTAAGTGCCGTATTCTCTTCTTTCGTATCAAACTCGTTCATTCTTTCGCTTTCGTTGAGTTTATAATGCATATTAACCTCCAAAAAACTTTAGTGAACATGTTTGACAGACAGGACCACTGTTAACATGTATTTTGTTTGCTGTGTCATCTCAATGTTTGCATAGTTATTAACTTCCCAAGTAAAATTCTTAATCAATGCATTTAAGCGTCCGTTAATCATTCTTTGGCATAATGTATTTTCTTTATTGTAAACACATATAATAAATACCATTACAGTAGACGTTTCTTTATCCTTTGATTTTCAGCTAATACATCAGATTGAATAAGGCGAATTGTAGTCATCTGTCTATATTCATCACATATTCAATGAAATACTCGATTGACTTTATTCGTATTGGGTGGACAAGGCGTATTTCAGATCACTACTTTAGTTCTGCATGTACGATATCATTACTAAGAGGACCTAAATTGATTCTTGTTGACCCTGGTAGTCCATGGGATTCGCAGTGGCTTCTTTCTCAGCTCTCATCTCGTGGAGTAAATCCTTACGATATTGGTTTTGTTGTTTGTACACACGATCACGTCGATCATATTGGAAGCTTACATATATTCCCAAACTCTACTCGGATTGTGGGCGAGAATTTCGAAGTTCAAGGTCTTAAAGATTGCTTCAGTATTCTCAAAACGCCTTATGAGATCGACTCCTTGATTCATATAATATCTACACCTGGGCACACTTTGTCAGACATATCAGTCATTGTGGAGGATATTGACCAATTCGGTCGTGTTGCCATAGTGGGTGACTTGTTTGAATGTGAGCAAGATATTATTGATCCATCTTTGTGGCATTCATCTAGTAACGATGTAAGCATTCAACAAAAAAACAGAGAATTCATTATCGATAACTTTGACTACATTGTTCCAGGTCATGGACCAGCCTTTAAAGCTACTAAAAGGTGGCAAAACTAACTTTGTATGCATTTTTACCCCGTTCATTGTAATCCACTCGACATTCGTTACACTTTTGTTGTCTGTCATGAAATTCTATGGAATAATCATTTGTCTTTCCAAGTTATTATAAGTCGCAAAACCCTTTGATTTTCCCATTATATTTCCGAGAATCTCATTTAGTTATGACATCATAGATTAAAGTTATTATTAGTGAAGACATATTAAATACTTTTATTGTATAGAACCCTTTGATGCTTTTCGTACTCCAGGATTTTAGCGCGGATTAGCTGGTTTAGTTCGGTTCTTTATACGACTAAGGAGGATTGCTGTATTGATTGTCGTATTTCTATTTATTGGTGCTCATCGAGAGGACTTTTCTGCAAACTCGAATGAACGTTTGTACTCACAGACTCAGGCCGATAGCTCGCATTGCCTCCGTTATATATTTTTATTCGGTTGAGGTTGAATAAACCCTAAGTATTTAAATATCACAGTGCGTTTAAATGAAAATGATAAAGGCAGCAAAACCATGTTTGTATCCGTAAAATAGTTTCACAGCATTGAGATTTCGGTCTAGTCTCTATTATTGAGAATTAAAAACTTCATAATTCACGTGTTACTTGACCACCAAATATTTCAACAGTCCTCCCATATTGACAGAAACTTTGAGGGAAGTCGAACCTCAGGCTGTCAAATAACTAGAAGTAATACTGGTGGTAGTGACTGACTTAAAAATGTACCAACATTGGGAATACAGTTGTACATACGTAATTTGCCTCGCACTAGGGCGGGAGTGGTTCATGATTGTTACACGACTGAAGGTAGTAGATGTAAATGCTTACTGTATCCTCCATTCCTATACATATATCTCACCTATCAAGGTATATACTCCTATAGACGTTGTATGGGATTGAATACATGATGTCCCTATTATCTTTAGAGTAACATTGTGACTTTATTGATACAGATGCTTAAGCGTTACTACCAGGTGTCTAAGATATACTTTTATTGGTATTATTTATATATAGGAAGTTTTTTGATTACTAGATTTATTTATTTAGTGGACCAATCTATGTTTTACAGGGAGTATTATTTAGACCTACCGTATTAAATACTAAGCACACGTATTTTACATACGTAACTAATTTGTTATTCTTTATCGTGTTTCAAAGTGGTTTATAAATGAGCTTAAACCTCTCAGTTCAAGACAGTCTTCATAGTATTTCTTCAAATATTACATAAAACCAATATATCCTTGTTCAGTTATTTGAATTTAGTTTACTCACATTTGGAATTCAAAGAGGTACTTGTTTAGTGTTTTGGAACTTCCCAATAATTTACCTAATTAAGTTTTTGAGTCAAAGTCTTCATTATGACAGATTGCATTTTGAAGTTAATTTTCTGTTCTCTGCAACGTGTAACCCTGACTTCAAATGTACGATTGTACACTACCTGACAAGTTTCATTAATTTCTGAAATTGGAGGTTGTGACTTGTTTACTAGTTCGCAATAAATAAACATATCTTAGTTCTGGAATTAAGTGATTTTAGTATTCTAACAGTTTTATTGTGCGGTAGCGATTTACTATAGGTGAATTTCCAGATCCATATCAACTTTATCTGGACGAGTTTAACCTTAGCAGTAAAAATCCATGGTATAATTTCAGTTCTATAAGGGTTGTTTTGAATCCTTAGGTTTCTTTTGGTGTTTTGAAGTTGGAAACCAATAGTAGTGTGTCAATTAATAAGGGAGGATATAAAACTCAGCTTAGTACACATACTACTTTTATTACAGCTCACTTAGTAGAAGAACCTCTTCGTATGCTCACTCGACTTTCACGTTTTATTCTTAGTCCATTTTGAGAAGAATTACTGGGGACGTTCCCAGAGGAACTTGAATGTTGTTTTTGTGGTTGAGCATTCGTAGCTGCAAATGATTCTTCTAATGCCTTTTCCTCGTCGTAAAGTAAATCAAACTGTCCCATTTGTTCCTTAGTGACATTTCTATTAGATTTGACGTCTGGAACTGTTCCGTTGGGTACAACGATATTAATAACGTCGTTTACTAACTTGTATTTTAAAATACGGTCACTAGCCGTTGTAGCCGACAGTGACGGAGATGCATTTACCTCCACAAGCCATGGCTTAAAATTGTCGTCAATTATGATATCGTAACCATAACATTCAAAGCAGTGTCTGTCGTTTATCATCACATTTGCGACTGCTTTCAGAGAATGTACTATTATCCAATGTATCTCATCAAACAGCTTGTCGGAGACGGGTTTTCCTTTCGTTCCCTGCAACCATAAGCGGAAATTCTCTGTTGTCCATTTACCACCATGAATACTGTTGTAATGAATTCCATGCTTTTGTATTGAAACGTTCGTCAGGTGAACAAACATATTATCTAGCTCACTGACATCCGAATTATACCTAACCGTGCAAAACCTGCAGAACCCAAGCTTATACACGTATGTCTTGAGAGGCCTGAACGAAGTAACAAGGACATAAAGGCGCAGGTCAAACTTTTTGCCTCCAATTAATAGTGGGTTGTCGATATACCTTGATATAACGTAAGAATCTCTACAAGCTGGTGTTGCACCAATTAAACCAGATTTCCCATCTCTAGACCATCGCTTAAGTTGAGAGAGTTTATTAATCAGGAAAATACCGACTCCACGGGCTTTCCCACTAGGCTTCATTATCCATGTAGAAGAGGGGTTGCGTTTAAACTCTTCTGCAAACAGGTTATAATCCTGTGGCAGCATGTAGGTGACCGGTATAAAATCCAAGAAGAAATACCTTCCAGTATCATCTTTTACAGCCAACGGGTTTCCCTCCTTCTGCAATTCGCGTCTGTACCTTTTAATATTTCTGACCATTAGATCTTTTCTGGTAAGTTCAAAATGGTTTGGGAAGTGGTTTACAATCTGAATTAGTTAGCGCAATTTATTTATCGTTGAAACCTGGTTATCTGATAATCTATATGATGTTTCGTTGCTAAAGAGCATGCGTATGCTTTGAACAGAAGCCCAAAAAATATTCCAATCCTCATCAGGATGCACAACTGTCCAGCCACGCGCTTCAAAATTACTTGTTATGACTGATTTCTCCACGTCTGTTGCATATTTTATCTTACTCATACTTGAACACTATTCAAAACTGTGTGTTGCTATGTGAGGACAGAAGTTATTTCACTAAGTTAGATAAACAATTTAGTTCCGCCTATACGCATGTATTGTACAGTCTTAAGTTAATTGAAGGAGTCTCTTATGCTTAAAATACAATTTATCAGTACTCCACTATTTGTTTTTACTTTTTATATCAGTGCGTGGTAAGTTTCATTTCTTCAGTAATAAGGAGAGTAGGTTGGCGGACCTGTGTGAATCCTAACAGTATGCCTTCCAGTGTAGGTCTAGCTTCTCCTTTAAAATGTTCACTGATGGGGCTGATAACACCTGTTCGGTCAAGGCGTCTCAGTCATTGACCGCTTGATGAGAAAGACGGAAACCCACCATAAGTTTATTAGATCGCCGTTTGTGAATCTTCTTGCTATGACGTCGGAGATTATTGTGCTGGAAGGAGCATAACGATAAGACATTTTAACACCCAAATCGTAATTAAGGATACAAAGTGCCAATATATGGTTACCTCGCGTCCTACATTACGACAAAGGTAAAATGTTTAGGCATTTTAAGCCCTCATCGCAAGGGAGTTTAGAAAGACCCTTCACCAATTTTGTTCCCGTACGCTGAACACGCTTAAGTGGGTTTGTATCCCTAATAAAGCATGGGCCAACTGCTTGGATACAGTACTATAAGTGTGGTCCTACATAGGTGGTATACAAAATTTGAAACATCTGTTTGTCAAAGCATTTGAGTTCGCGGCTAAGTGACCATAACACTCAAAACTCTTTGGCAACTGCTGCGTTTCAATGAGTAGTTGCTTTTAAGTCGAAACTTACCATTATCTCTAAGTTCTTATGTTACTGCACGCGAGGAAGAGATGTACCATAAATTTTATAGTGGTAACTATTTCCGTGTCCGATCAGCAAGAGCACACTCTTCCTAGAATTAACTTCTAAGCCCCTAAATCGAGCTTTTCTAATTAATTCGTTCAAGTCAGCTCGAATACCATAATGACCAGCCTCAATTCTTAATGTTCTACAGATTTCGACATCATCCTAAAACAATAATGTTAGCGATCTAGTCAATAGCGGCAATTAATTAACGTAGGGAAGGAAAGGTAGAGGACCAAAGATGGTGCATGCTGTTCAAACATGAATGTTTGTTCCGAAACCCGTGTTGCTCGGGAGTTAACAGATTGTATGAATCTATGTGATTTAGTACCTTAACCCGAATTATCTTTTTAAGTAACTTAACGGCTGTGTTGATTAGACTGACAGGCCGGCATTTAGATACGATGTGTCTCTGTCCATCCTTAAATATAAGACCGATCATGGCATCTCTTGGGTGTTGAGCAAGTGAAGCGGACATATTGAAGAGCGTTGAGAGTAGTCTTGAAATAATGTCCATAAAAGATGACAGCAGCCGTGGATGTAACCCATCAGGGTTCGGTATTCTACAAAGTTTGAAGCTAGTGATCAACGGAAAAACAGTTTCCTCAGTTACAAGTACAGGTCCTGTGTCTGGTATCTCGGCGTAATTAGGACAAGTGATTTTAGCAATATATGTAGAGTAGACTTCGCCAAAATAGCTTAATAAATTCTCAGCTAGTAAGCCGGAATTTTTGTATAACAGTAATGGGGGGATACCATCACAGTGTTTTGTTCTACGTTTAACATAGTGAGACAATCATTTCGGAGAAGTACGGCTACCATATTCCATGTGTCTTTCGTAAATAATACGGCATCTATCTATGATCTTTTTACATATATCCCGGATTTTTTGTACTCACACTTGAATGATTCGTATCCTGTTGATAAGAATAAGTCTCATATGTGTTTCCTACGATTCAACAGCTTTTGGGTTTCCTTATAAATCAATGGAGGGCTACGTGATAGCTTACCAGTTGACCATGATATAAACGGTGATGCCACGTACTCGAATATAGCCTTAAACTTATTCCATTCGTCTTCGATCGATTTAACCGCATTGACTGACCAGTCAGTCGAGATGGCGCAGTCTTTTATTACAGGAATATTTGCTCGCTAGGTATTGGGACAGTGTATACCATATGTCCGGAACTTAACGTAAAGTACAACGTGATCACTATTCGTTAGTGGGGCAAGGTGCTGAATGCTGATGACATCGTCATAGTGGCGTGTGAGTACAATGCTCAACAATGACAAATCACGTTCCAAGTCAGTATTTGTCGGCTTTGCGATGCATTGTACACGTGCACACTGAATAATGGTTGATAGAATGTCGTTATCAAAACCCCCACCTACAGCTGTCAGTTCTATCCCGTTGATATGTTGTTCGTTGAAATCTCCAATGATGAGACAGCATTCTGCCTTGTCCCAAGGAAAGATGTATCTTAAGATAAAGTCGTCACCAAGACATCTCGAACTGCGGTTTATTCCTCCTATAATTACTAACCCGTGTCTCAACATAATCGTACAACATGCTACCTAAAATATACCACCTAATTCACGCCTGCGATATGACTGATTGTATACGAAAGTGGTCCCTAATATATAATATTTTGCCTCCTCCGCTGCGACCTGTAACTATCAATTTTAATACAGGTGTAATCTGCAATAATTGTAGAACAACCCATATCTACGGTTAGCCAAGTTTCTGTGACAACAAATGTATCGGTACTTAATTCATACACTATCAAACTTAAATCGGACGTTTTATTTCGAAGACTATGGACGTTTGTGTAGTACACGTTTAAGGTGTTTTGGGAGTTAATTGTTATACCCGTACAGGTTTCGGAAGCATTGGCTTCCAAGACCTGAACCGGAAAACTTTAATCGTAAGTTTCGTTTCGCCATTTAGCTCCCGAGTTTTTAACTCCGTAACGGCATTCTCCTACTTGATTTGGTCCTCAAGCAGCCATTTTTGTTGGATAAGAATATTTGAATCACCAATTTTGTATGCATTGTTCAATATTCTGTCTGTTTCATCAAACTTACACAGTACCAACTTCAAGACCCCTCTTGGTTGGGTCTCTCCTCTAACCCACTTACCGAGTCTTATTACCTGCTCAATATTTACCCCTGAAATCTCTTCAGGCAGTACAATTCTGATGTCGTATTTTACTGACTACAGTTTGTGTGCATACCTTTGAATATAGTCATGGTCTTTCGACTCCTCTAGGTTTAAAATAATTAAACTAATAAAGGGTTTAACTTCCTTGAAGGTCCTGCACACGGCTTTTCGTCGAAATGTCAGATCCTGGCTGTTAACTTTTGTGAGTTTCTTGTTAATTTTTCTTGTGATAGTGTCGTTGGAGTCGAGAGAATGACACACGAAAACGCTTGAGGCCGAATATTTTCCACCTGCGACAGGGTTAAACATTGTCTTACTTTTGGACTTTGGTAGAGTGGTCTGAAACTCTGAATGTGAGTCTACCATGACATTTCAACTGAACGGGCTCTATTTTTGGCTATATTTCCTTCTCTCCTGTGTCTCCGTCTTATTCATTTTCCATCGCAGTATTCGCATTAGAGATGATCGGAATGATAATGGTTTTGTTTAGGTCATCAGTCGCTGCTGCAGCGACTTGGATACCAGGGCTTAATTGTGTATCACTCATTAGTTGTTTTGAGATAGAAATTCCTGTAGCGTGTTGCACAATTGTTTGTTTGACACGTGCCGTAATGGCACCTAAGGCACTGGCGCATTACTAGCTATCAGTACCCTTTTCGTCAGCCAACACCAGAAAGCTAACTGCTTCTTGGACGAGTAATATTTAGACCGAGCAATAAGACATACTGAGCCATTGAAAGTTGGGCTTTGAGCATTTTTTATAAGCAGTGAGGTTTGAGCGGGTAAACATCTTACTGAATCAATTCTTACACTCATAACATTGCATCCCTTTTCCTAACAAAAATAAGTAATATGGTTTTACACGTTTGTGGGTAGAGCCGACCATCCTAAAAATTAACTAAAAATGGTAACACAAAAATGGATATGCAAAAAATTCAAACTTTCACCAAACAAATCAAGTCAAAGTCGACCAAGTATGTTTGATGTAATAAATACGCAGAAGCAAAGTCAATAAACACAAGTACAATATCACGTTAACTAAAATAAATTCATTTAAGGTGGACACAGTAGTTTTGACGAGTAATTTACGATCAAAACAGTAGATTTAACACGACGACGGATAATACCACCGTTTTTTTAAATAGCGTGCGTTTTGACTCAAAAGTAAAGCATAGAATTATCAGCCAACGTTGGTGAGGATTGATGGTTACGTAATCGGAGTCATTATCATCTACTTCCAATATAGTTAAGATTCGACCTTCTAAGTTTCCAACAAGATATGAGTTCTAGGCTTTCTGGTGGAGGGCTCCAATAAAAGACGACCAGACACATGAAGTAAAACTTCAAAAACAAAATAACTTTGCCTTGATTTTTATACTCTTGGAATTTTCGGGAGAATATTCCTCGACGTAATAAAAATGAAAGATATTGATACTAAAATCGTCGTTCACATTACTGTAAGCCAATATTGGTTCACTCATCAACCAAGGGTAACGAATTGGGGCTGGTCCTGGACACACACTAGCTGAAGACTCTCAGTTATTCATCCGCGTCAGATCACCATAGGCTATATCGTACTAGCAACCCTCGTAACAACTAGCTAGTTAACATCAAACGCTTCTCAAAACATCGACAACCTTCTAAATATAACTTTGAACATCTTTATCCGTGACTTCTGATCTGATTGGGATGGTATTTTTTCGGTAATAAAGGTAGTACGGACAAAAGCGTTGTCAGACTCTGAAGATCTGTGGCATCTTTGGACTGAATAATGGACCTGATAGAACTTGGTTTTACTGTGAATAACCTATCATATCAATCTAGAAGGTTTACCATATCTTCCTAAAGTTCTGTTTTGTGGATAATAACATGACTTTAACGCAAGGTTATTCAGATCAAGCAGTCCTGTAACAAACCAACCATCGTAGTTTAGGATTATCTTGTAGCATAAACCCGTTAATTCCCATCTACTATCAGACCTT